TGCATCAGCGATGGAAGTATTTACGTTCAAGGCCCATTACCTGACTCTCACACAATTAACTGCTCATTAACCTGCGGCACCCCCCGGGAGCAGCCCGGGGTGTAAAACAACATCTCTCCTTCTGGGAGCAGCCCGGGGTGTAAAACAACCTCCCTCCCTCTCTCAGGTTTGCCGTGAGTCAGCTCCTCTGGGCGCTGCCATGGAGAAAACTCCTCAGCTGGAGCCTTTGCAGAGGTTTCTATTCTGGAATTTGTGCTTCTCCGCAAGAAACCTCGGCTTGACCTTTGAGGAACGGTGGTTTGTGTGAAATCCGGCACGGGCTGATGGACAGGGACTGTTCAGGTGTTCCGGGGAGCAGGCAGGGATGGCAGGCAGAGCCCACACCCCCACGCCGGGCTGGCAACGTGCTGCTGCACCTCAGGGACGGGGATCAGAGCCCCAAACCCGTGTCCTGATGGCCTGAGAAGGTCACGGGGACTGGGGGAACAAGGATTTTCATAGTTGCACAAGGTCAGTTCAGGGTTAGACACTGACCACTAAAAATATGATTATTTACGAGCCAAAACTTGCCCATCCCACTGCGGATGACTTGGACCACTAGGGATAAAGCTCCCCATTAGGGCTCCCTGCAGCCATTGTGGTTTGGATGGCTCTGAGTTATGACTCCGAGATAACATCAGTGGTGTTGGGACCTCCTCCAGCTCCCAGAGCCCCTCCAGCTCTCAGATTTCACCCATTTCCCAGACCCCCTCCAGCTCCCAAAGCTCCTCCAGCTCCCAGACCTCCTCCAGCTCCCAGACCTCATCCAGCTCTCAGACTTCACCCATTTCCCAGACCCCCTCCAGCTCCCAGACCTCATCCAGCTCCCAGACCTGCTCCAGCTCCCAGAGCTCCTCCAGCTCCCAGAGCTCCTCCAGTTCCCAAAGCTCCTCCAGCTCCCAGACCTCCTCCAGCTCCCAGACCTCCTTCATCTCCCAGAGCTCCTCCATCTCCCAGAGCTCCTCCATCTCCCAGAGCTCCTCGATTTCCCAGAGCTCCTCGATTTCCCAGAGCTCCTCCAGCTCCCACCACCACCAGAGCACAGAGGCTCCGAGGATGGGGATGGAGCCAGCTCTGCTTCCCCCCGGAACAAAGAGTCTCCTCCTCGGGAAGAAGGTTCTTTTCCTGGTCCTGGCACAGGTTTGACCTCCAAACCCTCAAAGCTGCCGAGCAATTGCATCAATTTGGCTTTACCGGCCCTGGGGCACCGTGCCCTTGACTGTCCCTGCTGGGTGATGCCACATCCCTGTGGCAGGATGAGGTGCCAGCAGGCCCCTGTTCCCTTGGGGAGGGGAGAGGTGGCTCAGCCATGCAGGGAGAGGCTTTTCCTGCTCCCATCTCACCCCACTCCAGCTCCCTTTTCCCACGGACGTGGTGCTGGAGCGCCTGTCCCGGGGCTCGTGCGTGTTCCCACCGCTGATGTCACACCACAGACCCCATTCCCACCATCCCCACATGTCCCCACAGCCCTCAGAGCAGGGAAGGGCCACTCTGGAGACCCAAATCCCACGGGAAGCAGCAGAACTCCTCGTTTCCTCCTTATGGATGCATCTGGCTGATGGCACAAACAGCTGGAGCAGCAGAGGGAAGCTGAGGGAGCGGCTCCAGCTCTGCACCCACCACAGGAAACACCTTCAGGCTCCAATAAACACCGGAATAAAGGCACTGAGAGGGGCCTCAAGGAAAGAGGCCGTTCCTACAAAACACTGTCACATTCCCAGCCCCTCCATCCAGGCACAGCTGGGCTTCCCAGCAGTGATCCCACAGCACAGGGAGCCCCGAGGTGGGATTTTGCGGTGGGATTTTTGGCAGGAACCATTCACTTTGGAAAGCCACTTGTCCTCAGTGCACAGACAAGGAGAAGATGCAGAGGCAGTTTGGGAAGAGCCGTTGGCTTTCCAAATATTCCGGATTAATCCCATTAGCACGGTCAGAACAAAGGACAAAAGACAGATGAATGTTTCCGAAGCGATTTCTGCCAGCTGAGTTTGTTCCAGCCTGGAAGAAAGTGACTGGGATTTCCCTGGAGTTCAACTTTTCAAGGATTTCTTCTTCCTAGAGACTCCTGACGTCCTGGGAAGGGCCTCTCCTCTTCCCAAGCCAGTGGGAAAAAGGCACCAAGCGAGGCCAGATGTCTCCTCCCCATCCCTCCTCGACCACGGGGCTGCTTCCCAGGCACTTCCCATGTCCCACAGACACCATGAACTGCCTGGAATGGCGCAAAAACCAGTCCTGGCACTCACAGAGCCCCATTTTGGACCATTTTTCCCTCCAGGAAACCTTCTGGGAGAGGCAAGTCAAACCTCTCCTGGGTCTGTGTGCTGAGAAGAAACTCAAATCTCATTCTCATCAATAAACCCTGTAAACAAGCACAGTTTTCCTCCCACTCTGTTTCCCAGCTTCTTCCCAGCCTGGGAAGCCAGAGGAAACATCCTGATGGAGCACAAAGCGTTTCTGGCCCCTGGAGCTGCCCTGGGTCACTGGCCACAGGATTTCACCCTCCTCCAGCTTCTTGGAATAACGTTTCCTTGAGGGAAAAAAAAAACCCTACATGCTTTTTCTCAACTTGAAGGGGGTTTTAGGGAAGTCTGAGAGGGGGAAAAGTCTCTTTTCCCATCTTGAGACAAGCGTGTGACCGAGCCAGAGGCTCATCCATGAGAGTTATTTCATATCCCATCACACGTCGTTGGCTCCAACGGGTTTTTCCAGCCAGGATCCGGCAGTTTGAAGCAGAATAAACGGGACTGTTTGTATTCCAAGAGAACACCTCCAGTGGGAGAATGCCATCAATCCAACCCCTCTGGAAGTCACCTGCTCTTTAGTTGGGAAGAGGGGAAAAGCCTCAGGTGGGGTAAGAAAGGGCTGGAGAAAGGGAGGAATAAATTCCTTGGGGAGATGCTGGGTGGGTGAGGGTAAAAAAATTGGGAAAAAAAGCCTGCTGGGAGCACTCCCATTGCTCCTTTTGGGGTAGCCTGAAAAAAACCCCTTCCAAGCCCCAGCTTTGCGTGGGACATGATCCACAGAACCTTATTTACCCTGGCAAAGAGGATAGCAAGCAGGGAATAGTCCTTGAGGGAACAGCTCTCCCTCACTCGCTGTTTTCCACCCAAAACACTCAAAATGTTCCTGGGAATGAGCACCCTGGGGTGCTCCAGAGAGCATGGGAGGGCATCCCACAGGAGGCTCCTTTCCCATCCCAGCCTGTCGTTCCCGGACAGCTTCACAAACCCACCAGGGGGTTTTGGAAGCTCATCCCAGCTGGGGGATAAAAGTTTTCCAAGAGAGATGAAGCGAAGAGAAAGAACAAAAAGAAATAAACAGCAGAAGAAGCAAAACAAACATTATCCAGTAAATATTCCAGGCTCCAGGACCCCGTTTCCTGGCCAGAGTGAGGAAGTGCCAGGGCTGGGGTGGGTGGAGGTCACAGGGCGGGTCGGGATGAGGGAGGCACTGACCCCCCTGTACCAGCCCACCCCGTGCCCTCCAGGGAGCTGGAGCCAAGACAAGCCCTGCCTTGTGCTCCAGCTCCTGGGATAAGGGAAACATCCACAGAAACCAAATGAAGCCTTGTTATTCCAGCACAAAGAGCTCCAGGAGCCGGCGGAGGAGCGGCCGCGATGTCCCCCCCCCGCCCCAGGATGTGCCTCAAATCCGGCCTTTTCCCTGTTTTTCCTTGTGTTTTAGCTCTGGAATTGGGGTTTTTCGCACTTTATATGAGAGCAGCACAGGCAACTCTGTTTGCCAGAGGTTGGACTGATCCAAGCTGGAGCTGTGATTCCTTGGGAAGGGCCAGAGCCAGCGTCCCACAGGCTGAGCCCGTGCGGGATGCTCGGCCGTGGTCAACCTTCCTGCAGAGTATTCCTGCAGAGGATTCCTGCTTTTTGCTCATTTGCTCAAAGGAGTCAGCATTTCCACAAGGACTGAGTATTCCATGGATCTGATGAACAGAGTTTTTTTGGGATACAAGGTCAAATTTTGGGAGGAGCAGAGCTGTGGCAGCTGCTGCACCGCTCCCGATAACAAGTGCTCTCCTGGCCGTGCTGCCAGAGAAATCCGGGATTTTTGGGAGGGGGATTTTTGGGAGAGGGGCTGTGGATGGCAGACCCCCACCCTGGGCACGGCACCCCATCCCTGGGCCATTCCCATCCCTCTCCAGCCCCCTGGGATCCCTCGGGGTGGGGTCTCACCTGCCCTGCTCTGCTCCGCGGGCTGGGCGGGTGCTCCGGACACCCCGGGATGGACGTGGAGCTCAGGGAACCGTGGGTGCTCCTGGAGCCTGGAAGAAAGGGAGACCCTCTGGTTACAGCAGCACCTCTGCCACCTGCCCCAAGCCCTAACAGGGACAAACCCTGACCCTCGAGGTCACCAATGTGGTGTGCAGCCACCAGTGCCAGGGATAATGATCCCGGTGGGATTAGGATTAGCTCCTGCCCCCCACTATCATTCCCAGCCTCCAGAGGCTCTGGGAGCTGGTAGCAGGAACAGGGGTGACCCTAGCACAGCCATGGGATCCCAAGCAGCACAGCCACATTCCTGGTGCTGCTGGCATGGAGGGGGCAGGATTATGGCCCCATCCCTCTGGAGCTTCCCTGGGCACACGGCACAGAGGCCCTTGTTCTCCGGGAATTTAGAGCAGCCATTGTCCTGTGGGACAGCAGGGATGCTCCAGGGAGAAGGGCTGGGCTGGCCATGGCTGCACAGGGACCCTCATCCAGGAATCACTAATGGATCAGGTTTTGCCAACAGCTCCAGCACCCAACATCCCGGGAATCCCAGAATCCCAGAATGGTTTGGGTTGGAAAGGACCTTACAGCTCATCCATGTCCATGGGCAGGGACACCCTCCACTATCCCAGGTTGCTCCAAGCCCGTCCAACCTGGCCTTGGACACTTCCAGGGCCATCAGCCCTTTACATCATTCCCATTCCCAAAACAGCAGGAACTCTGTGACAATGATCCACGTTTCTGGCACCTCCCTGTCCCAAACACCCACGGGCACGTCCCCATCACGGCCCCACAGCTCCCCTGGCTGCACCACAGGGATTTTGGGCTGGAGCACAGCTATTCCCAACCCTCCCGTGCAGGAGGTGGGAGAGGATTTTTCCATAAGGCCCAACAGCTTGCTGGAGGGATTTGCACAGCAGGTGGAAGAAACCACCACTCTGGGAGGGGAAAATCCAGGTCTGAATCCCGTTGGGATGACGGGGGATGAGGTTGGCACCCAGCCAGGGAGGGCAGTGCCTTGCACACAGACCTGAGCTTCCTGGGCTGTGCTTTCCTTGAGCATGGAACAGGTTGGGAATTCCCTGGTTTTGGTGCAGGGAGGTGGTTGTCATCCTTCCCTGCTCCAGGATTCCATGTTTCCCATCCCACAGGATCCCTGCCACAGCAGGACCCCGGGTTGGGCTCAGATCCGGGGGGTTTATCCCAATTTCTCTGCTCTCTGCAGCTCCAATCACACCTTGGCAGCTCTGGCACAGCCTCTCCCAGGGCAGTTTTGCTCCCAGAGCTTTTCCAGAGACACTGGAGCTCCGCAGCCCGACCCTGGCTCTGCCAACAGCTCTGCCAGGAACAAAGGAGAGCGGGATTTCTGGGAGCTGAGCTTGGCACCGCTCCCCTCCCGGCCAGGGAACGCTGAGATTCCCAGATTTTGGGGGGGACAGAGCAGCTGGCTCCATCCTGCCACGTTTGGGTAATTACCACTGACTCAGAGATAGGAATCCGGGATTGGGAGCCGGGAATGAATTGGACTATTCATCATCGGATAAAATTGCCATGAAAAGGAGCAGGGGGGGCGGGGGTGACCCCTCCTTGCAGGGGATGAATTACAGGCCCTGCTGGCCACAGCCAGGCCCCATTAACACACCCCATTAATGCTGCTTTGAATCCCAATTAAAACTCATTAAAGAGCCCTGGGCCAGACAAGTTGCCTTTGAGGAGGAATATTCCTTGAAAACAGGGAGCTGCCA